TTGTTATGGAGTATGATAGATGGATTAATTCCGAGTAAAGGAGCATTATTCAGTATTAAACTGAAGTTGTCGTTGATTTCTTCATCCATTTGCTATTTTTTTCAAAAGCAGTAAAAATTTAAACGATAAATCACGGCTTAAGGCCATCTTTTAGGCCTGAGGAATCTCGTAATTGAATGTCAATTACGCGATTTTATCGCTGCCTCGGGGCGTTTAGCGAATTTTTATTTCGTGGGAACTTCTTGTTTCATTGGTTGAAGTGGCGCTGACTATGCAGTAGGGAAATTTGTACGTGTGTGGTCGACGATTGTTTGCTCTGCAATTGGGCACGAGTTCCTGGAGTAGGGAATTGCTCACTGGCCTCGATTTTACACTTCAAGTTGACAGGTTTTAATAATTGTGCAATTGTCATGGGAATTGAATGTTTGGTTGATGGTTTTATCGAGTTGTGGGAGGGATATTCTTCTGGTTATTCGGGAGAACATCCGTATTTTTATGTCTTTTTATTATTGATTAATCAATTTAATTAATTGAAGAAGAAGAACTTGAGAAGTTTTGTTAGAATTGAGATTTTTTATTTGATTTTTTTTTATGTTTCGAGAAATAATTATCCAAAAATTTTGGGTCAAATTTTATTGGAAAGCTTGGAAAATTTCTCATGAAGTTCATATTTTTTGATATTTTTAGTAATCAATTAATTAGAGATAATTAATTAATGAAAAAAGCACGTAGAGAAATATTTCTGAACGAAACAAAAAATTTTGGTTTTCAGTTCTTTTTCAATATTTCAATAACTAATATAATAATATTAAGTTCAAAAATTTGGCGTCAAATTTGTTTGCAAAATGCGAAAATTTTCCGACAAAATCCACATTTCCCCCATTTCCATCACCTCCTCACAACCAAAAACCAAAAAATTCCCGTCTCTAACCCCCCACCACGACAAAACACTTTTTACTTCGCAAAACTGGATCACAAATCTTCCAATGAGGGATCGAGAAATCAATCCAAGATTTATTGACTCGTTCTCACGATGCCCACACGTCTTAATCTCGAATTTTTCCTCCAATTTTTTGCCCACAAAAAAAATACGCAAACAAATAAAATGTGAAGAAAAAAAAATGGAGATTAATGCCGGCGACGCAGGCGCCTGAATATAAAATCTCCAGCGGATTGTACACTCATTGTATATATGTACGACAGTCCCCCGGATACTCGTTCGCCCACTGGGTATTCCAGTATTCAAGTTTCTTTATAGCGAATAGGAAACTACGTGTTTCTGTAATTCTTTCTCTCTCAACTCCGAACAAAGGATTGAACGAAATGAGAGTCAACAAATGCACGTATGTGTCACTTTCGATGAGTTACAGTTTTCCATATTGGGGGAGACCGATCCTATTTTTCTAATGAGTAATCAGCGCTTCATTTAGAATTTTAATCTGGCGTTGCAATTATTCACAAAGAAATGGCCCACTTTCGCGCGAAGCCCCTCGATTTCAGGATATATTTTGGAAAAATGGAATTATTTTGGGAATGAGTGATTTTAGGAGAAAATGTCAGAGAACGTTTTTTGTAGATCTGGAAATTCTACAGAAAAAATCTCTTTTGACATTTTCTCGTAAACGCACTCATCACCTCAATAAATCCCCGTCAACCTTCGATCACTCGCGCTCGGCCGCCAGCCGTCATCCGTCGCACGGCCAGCGCTGTTGCCACGTTGGCGCTCACCGCTATGCGCGCATTTCAAGCGCGGCAGTGAATATAGCAACGCTGTCGCTCGAGCGGTCCGCAGGCACTCACTCGCAGCGGGCGGCGCGGCGCCGGTTTTTCTGTTCGTTCGACGGTTTTTTTTTTTCTAGCGAAACAAATTTCCCGAGAAAAAAATGGACAACGCCAACGCTTAATAAAAGGATTGAACTAGGAACTCTAATTTTTCCAGAATTTTCAAGCGTCGAGACAAGTAATAAACAACAGACGTAGAATATTGAAAATATTCTATTCCCCAAGTTGATGATGAAAACAGTCGATTAGCATTCATTAATCATTAATCTCGCCGCAAGATGCTTGAGCGTAGAAAGCCACACACGATACTTGCTCGGGTGGTAATGGACAGAGGTTAACACCGACATTGAGATGAGGAGCAACGATAAACTTACCCTCTCCCATCTCCGTGGCACTTCATCACACTCTTGTCTTTATTTCTCACTTCTCATTACTTTACGACTCGTCCCTAATTCGGCACGTCCCGTCTAGCTTTATAATTAACCACAGCCAATCAACGGGGTTTACATTTCATTCGACAATTTTTACATCTCCGCGGGGGCACCGAGGACTATTAATCCGATGGTGTCAATTGACCATTGCAGTTGCTATTCACTTCCTTATTTTCGCGATTTCACATTTCTTCTTGGAGAAGAGGGAAAATCGCCTCGTTAACGAGGCGGGAAAATTTTTCCATTGAAAAAAAAAACTCATTATTGTCTTCGAACATTTCCAACACAATATAGTAATTCCATATGTGAAAATTTTTGGCTCTCGTCATTGAAATTTTGGGGTAGAGCAATCCCTGGAAAATCTCATGTAACGAAAAACGCAACGGAAGTTGCGCAGTCGACCACTGCGCATGGAGGGGATGCGCTGCTCACAGTCATGTGCACTCGCTGTCAATTTAAATATCTCGGTAACTATCCAGAAGTCATCGAGACATCCAGTATGACGAATGTAGGAAATTTCATAACAAATAAAATAGCGTTTAACTCACATATCTATGAATCGTAGTTCTCAGGATGCGGACGTTTGTGGATGTGAGCGCTCAACGGCGCACGCGCTCCCTCAAAATCTGAAGGTCTTGAGCCACTTTCTTAAACAAATGATAACGTCTCGAGAATTGTAAGTCGTAGAGACATGAGTAAAAAACCATTTTATTAGTCATAAAGATCCCCTGATTGTTCACGCTGCGTGTCTCGAGGACTTCTTAATGGTTGTAAACATATTTCAAGTGAGAGAGGCAAACATAATCTCAAACCATTCAATTGCAATTATCTCCGGAAGTAATTGAGCTCTCTAGCTCAATCGACATCCTCAAAATGTCGGGGATTCTCTCATCTCTAAAACAAAATCACACTCGTAGAAATCCCCCCCCCCCCCCCCCCCCCCCCCCCCCCCCCCCCCCCCCCCCCCCCCCCCCCCCCCCCGAGCTATCGCCGTAAATTCAGGAAATAAAGAACTCCATTCATAACCTCAAATCAATAAAACTGAAAAAAATCTCCTCGCCCTTTCCGGGAGTCTCAAACAAATCTCATCAATGGATTCGACAATTATTTTAATGCTCCCACACCTCTCCGGTGTTCCCATTGACACTCTGAACACAATGAGAATGAACAAAACGCGCAAATGAATGATTCGAAACGGCAAAAAACAAATCGCTTCGATTATCTTCCAAGTAGGAGTTAAATAAATTTATCCCATCCGCATAATCAACAATTTTATGTTTCTTCTAATTAACGGGAAATGAAAAAAAAAATTAATAGAAAAAAATTGATTGAAAGATGCCGACGATGTTTTGAATGTGTCAGGGACGATGGGACATTAAATGTGGTAATATCCATTTTATGAGGTGCGTTCTATGCAGAAAATTAAGTGCAGATGATAATTTGATATGGCGGGGGGGACGTCCGTAGGTATTTCTCCTACGCTTTAACGAGAATTGATGTTTCCGACGGTTAAGTGTCAAGACTTTGACGCCTGGACAGGAAATTACAGTCGTTTGTTTTGAAAATTGTGAAAATTTTCAAATGGGAAATATTCTAATGTTTGAATTTTTGAATTTTCCCGCCGGGAAACGAAAGTTCGGACCATTTCCGGTTCCGTTTGGGGGTCGAAGAACTCTCCAGGGGCAGTACTTCCCTAGATGTTTGAAATATCTAGCGGAAGGGGGGCGGTAAGGGGGGCTATGGGTAGTGAACGGAAACGAAAATTTTCTGATCTACAAGATGGTGGGGGGTAAGGGGTGGTTTTTTCAAAAATGGATTTTTGGGAAATTGGGGTTTGTTTGTGGTGGGATGAACTCCGGTGAACCGAGAAGTTGGAAGCGGCTCGTGCGCCCTGGATTGTGTTTATTGTGTTGAATCAGCGGGGAATTGATAGACGTTTGCAGTTTTAGCGACCCACTTGCCATGCGAAACCTATTGACTCGGGTATTTTAAGACATTTTATTATTTTTGTTGGAAATGGAGCAAAAATAAAAATGTTCTTTTTTTATTTCGAGACCATTCGTAATTTAATTAATAACCTGGGTGATTGTATGGCATCCCCTTCACCATCCCGATTTTTTTCATAATTTTTTCACCATTTTATACTCTGTTTAAAAATCAACACCCGCAAAGAATCACTAGAACGTAAAAAGAGGCAGATAAACGAATTATACCGCGACTTTCGCTCATAAATTTGGTGGTGAAAAAATTTGAGAAATCACCTGTTGCTTCCCCCCACCCCCTTGATTTTTTTCGTAATTTTCACGCCAGTCAGTTTTCCAATAAAAAATTAAAACCCCCCAAAACACCCTAAAATCGCAAAAAATCGAAGAAAAGAAATTGATTCATCATTTTCACTCATAAGTTCCCTCAGAAAAAAATCTCGAGTACTTCCTACCGTGTTCCCCCATGCTTATGAATTTTTTCCTAATTTTCTCACCATTTTATTCTCACTCAAAAAATTGAAGCTCAAAAAATCGCTAGGAATCCCTCGAAAAATCTGGGAAAAAAAATATTCATCGGTTTTCGCTCACAAGTCCGCTCAAGAAAAATTCTCCAATTTCGTATCACCTTCCTCCACCCTCTGGATTTTTCAGGATTTCTCTGTCATTTACTCCCCCTCGCTCCATAAACTCCTAAAAATCGTCCTGAATATTCCCATTCATTTGTTTCTGCTCACAACTCCGCTCAAAAAAATTATCAAACATGGCGCGAGGGGTTAAGAAGGGCGGCCCGACAGCCCTGCAAACGGAAGTGACGACAGACGACGAATGGCAGGAGGTTTTGACCCGCGAAGGCCTAGTAGTAGTCGACGTTTATTCGGAATGGAGTGGCCCGTGCGCGGCCATGATCTCCACGCTCAGAAAGATCAAAATGGAGGTGGGCGATATTTTGAGTTACGCAGTGGCTCGAAACGACGGTATCCAGGACCTCGAGCGGTTCCGGGGGAAGTCTGAACCCACGTGGATGTTCATTGAGAACGGAAAAATGGTGAATCTTTTTTTCGGAGCGAATTGCCCGAAATTCATAAAAGTCCTTCTCGCTGAGGTTAAACGGGTGCAGGAGGGGGAGGAGCCCAGCTGGTCACTTCCGGTGGGCGAGAGGGGACCTGAGGAAAGTGTGAAATATGCTCGGGAAGAAAAAATAAGGTATTTGGGAGTGAATTTCTGGAACTCGAAAAATCTCAGATTTTTTTCGACTTTTTAAGGTTAGAAAATATTTAATAAAGGGTTGTCTGGGGGATTCTACGGGTTAATTTATGGATTAAGAGATGGTTCAAGAGGGCCGGATTCCAGCTTCAAAATGAGGCCAGTTTAAGTTTAATCGATCAGCAATTTCTTGAGATATTTGAACTTGAGTGAAAAATTTTCTTTTTCGCTCAAAAATTAAGTTTTACTCGAAATGAATTTTCTCCGCCATTTTTGATCGTACAAGGTTCACCGACCGCTTAAAATATTGGTCGAAAAATGGGCTTTTCTAAGAGAATAAATAATTAAGCGATCGGCTTCCCTAAAAATTCAATTCATTTTCATTTCCATGAAGACAATCCCTAATGAACAAGCAACTCGCCAAGATCGAAGGGGAGAAGCGTGCGATCTACGAGGCATACCTCTACTATATGATGTGCGAGTTATCGGAGGAAACAGTGCTGATACTGTACCCATGGGTATTCCTCGACGATGCTGGCTACCCAAAAGACAAAGACAAATGTCCTCCCTACAAGGAGTTGATTTATGGTCTGCTTCCAGATCGGTTTGATGTTCTTGAGCAAAGTAGAATACAATTGACTGAGGACATGGTCAGGAATATGCTCGTAGAGACGGACATTGATATTACTGATGACTTGATCGAAGGTCACTCACAATTTTCTGTGTTCTCTTAATTTTTTTGAGGTTATGTTTTTTAAAAAAATCGACGATTGGAATCAGTGATGGCTGTTGTATAGTCGAGGACATTGCCGCTTCCAAACATTGGTCATAAGTCCATTTTGCCCCGTTAAATCCGCAGTTATTGAAAATTTGCGATTTCTTATAAAATTTTTGTGTTTTTAATTACGCGGAAACTAGAGAAGATCGGGGAAATTATGACCAGAGGATGGAATCCGGAATTTTCCGGGTGATATGATGGCGTCGAAAAAAATCCAATTTTTGTTCTCTTTGCATGAAAAAACGTAGAAAAACTGTTTTTGGGGGTTAAGGCCTGGTGGAGAATAAGATTCTGGCCATGCGGCTCAAGGCCCGCCCCCCACCTTCGGATTGGCCCGTTCCGTATCCATTCAAATGCCCCGAGGACGATAAGAAGTGTCCGATGAGGGCGATCAACGATGTGGAGAATTTTCTGGCGCTTATTCTCGAGGAGCAACCCTCTGGTGATAACAAGGAGGGTGAGGAGGCTCTGAGCTACGTCGAGAGGCATAAATGCGCGGTTAGCCGGAATGAGGGGGAGGAGGACGAAGAGGAGGAGGAGGGGAGAGAAGTGGTGTATCCTGCTGTTTTCTACCCCCCACAAGTAATTAAAATATTTCAACAAAGTAATTCATGATTTTTTTTAAACCTCACTTTACGGCTTCTCAGGGGGGATTAAATTCCATTTTACGGCCTAGGCCGTAAAATTTATTTTATGGTCATGGATGACAATTTCAATTAATTCGAATTATTTTTCTAAAGTCCGTGAAATATGCGTCTCTTCACATCTTTGCGGAAGGGATTATTTTACATATGCCCTGTGAGGCTGTAAAATCCCATTTTAGTGCCTAGGCTGAAAAATTCACCTTTTTCCACGTCAAGAAAAATCTAGTGAATCATTAGTTTTCTCGGCTTCTTCGTCAGTCTAGGAATAAAGTTCACGTATTCAAGACACTATTCTCGGCTTCCCTCGAGAAATCTCATCCTTATGAAGAGAATTAAAATCGTCTTCCATGACCATAAAATAAATTTTATGGCCTAGGCTGTAAGATTTATTTTATGGTTATGGATGACGATTTTAATCAATTCGAATTATTCTTCTAAAGTCCATGAAATAGGCGTCTCTTTACATCTTTGCGGAAGGGATTATTTTACACATGTCCTATGAGGCTCTAAAATCCCATTTTAGTGCCTAGGCCGAAAAATTCAACTTTTTGCGCGTCAAAAAAATTCAGGTAAATCAGTAGTTTCCTCCGCTTCTTCTTCAGGCTAGGAATAAAGTTCACGTATTCAAGACACTGTTCTCGGCTTACCTGGAGAAATCTCATCCTTATGAAGAGCCAGTGAAGCTCGCACCCCTGTGTGCATTCAAATTCGACTCCAGTCAGACAAAAATCGTTTTGGATTCTTACAATCAGTTTCTGGAGGTTATAGAGAAGTTCGGGGTGTTTGAGTTCAATGACTGGAGGGCGAGGCGAATAGCGTCAGCACCCGAGGATTTTATTGATAAGGTTCAGCGATAAAATTGATTATTCATTTATTACGATTTAGTTGAAATTGGTCTTTCTTTTTATTGTGATATTGTGATATCAGATTCAAACAAAAACTGGAAACGAGATGTTCTTATTCGTCATCCGTCGAGTCGACGAAGACACTTTCCTAGCATTCGCGGGAAGTAATCCTCTCGAGATCGAAGAGGACGAGGAAAAAGTCAATGAGATCTTGGATTTCTTCTTCCCTGAGGGCGCTCACGACTATAATCCTGATTTAGTTCACGTTGATGACACTTACGATGAGTATTTCGACGCGAGGGAAGAGGAAGAGGATTATTATGATGAGGAATTCATGGAGAATCATAAATTTTCCATTTATTGATCACTTGTCAACACGAAATTGAAAATAATGTGAAGAAATTTTTCTCCAAAAATTTTCAAAATTTCTTAATGAAAAAAAAACTATGAATTTTCATTTTTCATGTTGGAAGAGATTATTCTGATCTTCAGGGGGTAAGAACTGAATCGAAAGAAATCTCTACTTTTTTTTTTACCAAAAATGGAATTTTTAAAAAATTTTATAATTACAAAAATAAATTTTTTGTTGAAAAAAAAAAATTCTAAAGTTCCAAAAATAGTTCTTTTTCCGCAAATTCTGAACATCTCCACTCACGTCTAGAATGGTATTACGCAAAGAATTGCACAATAACTCTCATGATGCAAAAAGCAGAAGACAAATAAACAAACGGTGAGACACGAGTGAAAAAGAGTGAGCGAGACTGACTAGCATCAATCACACTGTTACATTCCACCTTTGTCTTGAAATTTTTTTCCACATTTTAGTCCTTCACTTCCCCCCCTCGCCACCTTTATTAATCGACCATTTTACCACATGAGGCCGTGGAACAAGGTCACGTTGAGATTCCAGACGAGATAATTCTTCATTTTCATTATAAATAATACAAAACTGCGTGAACATAAACAACAAGCTGAAAACAAAATGCAACGTATTTAAAAAATGAGAGAAATGACATTCTCAACTTTATAAAAAGTCTTCTCGCGAGAGCGGCGAAATCAAAGAGCTAGAGAATTTTTTCATCGTGTTGAGAAAAAATGAGGCATTTTGTTCTATGAAATGTACTTGAAACGAATGTACCTGTTCCAAATGGGCTTGACTTCAATCTACTTTACGAAAATCTATTCGCTCAAAGTGTACTTGATGCAAATCTATCTGTTCAAAATGTACTTGATGCAGATGTACTTGACGCAAATCTACTTCTCCCAAATATACTTCGCTTGAATCTACTCGTCCCAAATGTACCTGAAGCAAAGCCATTTGCTCCAGTTGTACTTGGCACTAATCTATTTCTCCCAAACGCAGTTGACTTCAATGTGCTTTAAGTAAATCTATTCGCTCAAAGTGTACTTGATGTTAATCTATCTGTTCAAAATGTACTTGATGAAGACGAACTAATCGCAAGGGTACCTGATGCAGATGTACTTGACGCAAATCTCCTTCTCCCAAATGTACTTCGCTTGAATCTACTTGTCCCAAACGTACTTGAAGCAAAGCCATTTGCTCCAATTGTACTTGGCACTAATCTATTTCTCCCAAATGCAGTTGACTTCAATGTGCTTTAAGTAAATCTATTCGCTCAAAGTGTACTTGATGCAAATCTACCTGTCCCAAACATACTTGATGCAAAACTATTTGTTGCAAGGGTACTTGACGCAGATGTACTTGGCAAAAATCTACTCGTCTCAATGTACTTTCTCCGAATGTACTTGGTGTGAATCTACTTCGTGTATATTTAATTGGTGCAAATCTACTTGTCCCAAATATGCTTGGCTGACAGCTATTCTTTCCAAATGTACTCGATGTGAATCTACTTCGCGTAGTACTTTATGCGAATCTACCTCTTCGAACGTACTTGGCACAGATCTACTTCTCCCAGATGGCGTTGATTTCAATGTCCTTTGCGGAAATCTATTCGCTCAAAATAAGAAATTATTCGGCGCAAATGTACTCCACGCAGCTGTACTTGATGCGAATCTACCAGTCCCAAATATACTTGATGCAAATCTATTCGTCTCACATGTACTTGCGGTCAATCTCCTCATTCCAAATGCAATCTAGTTAATTCTACCGCTTTCATCAGGCCGACAGTAACAAAAAGTGCACTTTTCTGACAAGTGTCAATTATATCATCAGGTGATAAAGTATTATCTGACGAATGTGACTTTAATAATCACATGAGGTAGATAGTACTTTTATCGCCGTGTGGCATACAATATTTTATGTCACCGGGTCCGAACATCGCGATCTAACCGCGCGACGCGACGTTAGAATCGCGGTTTATCGGGCCAAGGGTCATAAAGAGCTATTTTGGCCGTGGGCTGCATAAAATTTCATGTCGTAAGACCCAAAAACCATCGAATCGCGGTTTATCGCGTCTCCTAATAAAAAAAATTCTTCTGACACTTTGAATTCTTTTTCTGGGTTGGAAGGTCACGGTTTGGGTCAATGGGATGTTGCCCAGGGGGAGGTGGGAGAAGCGACTCGGGGGAGTACAGTAGTGGGGATGTATAACTGCAGTCAGGGACTACGCGAGCGCTCAGTCGCTCAGTTGTTGCGCGTCTGGCGCATCGAAGCGTTCAAATGTGCTAAAAATAGAGTACGGAATCGCGTGAAACGGGTACTCCTGTTTATTTATTCCTGCGCGTACTTGTTTGTTTGATAAGTGCATCCGGGAATTCCGAGTGCTTGTGAAGGACACGGGGCCCAGTGGCGGGGCGGATACTTCGTGAATGCTTGGGGTTTCAGGATTCAGGAAAGTCGTTTAGTGAAGAGGAGAGAGTTCTTTTCGTTCTCTTGGGGGTTCATTCGAATACTGGTTACACGTGATGATGGTGGTCAACAAGGTCATCATGTCCACGTACAATCCTACACCGAGGAGGAATTTTTTCTCTGGGCTGCATGCGGAGGTAATTAGCAATTAAATTTTTTTATGTGGCGAGAGGGGAGAATTTTTTTTCAGAGGGGGTGGGTGGTTTTTTTGAACCCCAGGTAGAAATTTTTTTTTACGAAAAAGTTGCAAAAATTCCAAAAAAAAACTTTGCAAAAAAAATGTCAAATTCTTTGCAAAAAAATGAGAAATGTAAAAACTTTTTTTTTCAATTTTTATCGAGAAATCGAAAAATTTTCATGTTTTGTAAGGTCGTTTTGACCTCCAAAAATGGAGGAAAAAATTTGTTTCAAAATTTTTTTGGTTGAAACACTGAAAACAAGAATTTCGATTTTTTTCTTCAATATTCTGTGGGGTCACTGTGACTCTCAAAAATAAAGATTTCTTTTTCAATTTTTTGAGTTCAAAGTTGCAATTTTGGGAAATATTTCGTGGGGGTCTAGATGACCTCAAAAAACATGGACCTAGTCAGCACAGAATGTATTTAAAAAATACTGAAGTGTTATTTTTACGAAAGTTCTTCCGACTTGACACAACAATCCTCTCAATCTTATTTTCACTTTTTCGCGTTAAACAAATTCCTGAAACCGCTGGCGCACCGCCAGGTCTTATTCTCGCTGTATTTTTTAAATTTTCTTTTTCGTGACCAGAGGTATCAGGGGACGGGGATAGGTGCAAAGTGCGTGCCAATTGATTTCTCTGAAGCGTAAGCCATTCTGAGTGCGGGAAAAACTAGATTTTCTGAGAATTTTTTATGTTTATTTTGGTTTTTCATGACGAGGATGATATGAGATAATAATTTTTAGGAACTCAATTCTCAAAAGCAAATTTTTTTTTTTTTTCGGCCATCAATGGTCTATTTATCGCCCATTAAAGATCTAGAGAAAAAATTTTGTGACGGAAGAAAAAATGATTTTTTTTTGTTTTCGTTGATAGAGACATTTAATGTGCAAACATTTCACCTCTTGTCCTCGAAATTTCGAGGTAGAGAAATCCCTGAAAAATGTCATGTAACAAAAAACCCAACGGAAGTTGCGCAGTCGACCATTGCGCACGGACACGCTGCTCACACCCTCTCGAGCGAAGATGCTCTCGCTGTCGCTACAATGATCCACTGTCAATTTAAATATCTCGATAACCATTGAGAAGTCATCGAGACATCCAGTGTGACGAATGTAGGGAATTTCAAAACAAATAAAATGGCTTTCTACTCACATATCTACGAATCGTAGATCTCAGGATGTGGACGCTTGTGGATGTGAGCGCCGCACGGCGCACGCGCGCTCTCAGAAACTAGAGGTCTTGAGCGACTCACTTAAACCAATGATAACGTCTCGAGAATTGCGAGTCGTAGAGACACAATAAAAAAACCATTGAAAAATCCCTTGACTTGATTTTTTTTGGAAATAAAATGCATCGTGTTTTGAATTTTGGTTTTTGCGGCAAGTCACGTGTGGAAAATCATCCGCTAATTGAAACCGTGACGCAGGGCATATATTACCCTGGATGAATTCCATATTGCCCCGTTATCGCTTCGGCACTCGAAAATCTAGGTCCAGAGACTTTATTAATAGTCAGCACTATGGAACTAGGAAGAGTTCGAGGCGCTTGAGTAATTATAATTGCAGACGGAAAAGTCGTTTGGAATATTCGATAGATTAATCGTGAAGATACTAATATAGTCAACAGAATCATTATCAATGTTCCTTAACCTATTTTACAAAATGATTATGAATTTCTCTTAATCTGTTTTCCTTTGTCCAATCGTCACCGAAAGAATTACAACAAAGGTCATGAAATCACTATAAAATTCTCTGTAATAACTCCCTAAATTATTTCCATTCTTCTAATCGCTTTTTGAGAAGAAAAAATAGTGAAATTTACAGTGACAAAATCTAAAATTGTTATTCTTTCATAAATTAGGGCAAATAATTACTGAATAATTGACAAAATTATCTCAATTTTGTCCACTTTTCCAAATGTTTCCAAGATTACGTCGACATTTCGAATATGCAATAATGAAAAAAAACGGCGTAAGACCGGATGTCTTCAATCCCCGGTTCGCGCACGAGTCTGGCACACGCGCTCTTTTAATTTCGTCGTGTGTGACCCCTTCTGATGGATCAATTGGATCACAGCAACCACCGGAAACTGCTCAATTTCTCTCAAAATAAAAAAAAATAACCCCTCAATTCTTCGCATTTTTCTGTAGTGAAAAAAACCACCCCCCGAACTTCCTTCCCTTCCCCCACAGGTACCGGGGCAAAACGGGGTCAATGATAGTGTTTCGTATCGGAAATTTTTCGAGTCTTCGAAAGGAAAAAAAATCGTCGAATTGTGAACGCTCGTTATCGAGATATCGCCCGGTTTGTGAACAGCCGAGTAAAAAACTTTCCGCTGAAATCGCGAAATTAATTGAATCATTAACGGTATTTTGTTGCGCTGCTACTGAGATAGTACGAGAAAGCTCTCACTTACGTAATTGTCCGAGTGCAGGGCCGCAGTCGTATTTATTGTGTCCGCTTGCGACATGAGTTGCCGAAATCTCTGTAGAACAATTAAATTGTGATGGTGATTGTGAAAATTTCGTTGGGCCCTTGTAAGGGTCAGACTCTGTAATACTCCTGTGTGATGTATTTCCCATTCATTTCAATGAAACTCCATCATCTCGATGCACTTTACATCACTCATCTCCAAGTCTTCTCCCCCCAAGGAAGAAAAATCCCAAAGTAATTCAATAAAAATCAGAAAATCCGTCTTATCTGAAATTACCCTCTCATCCGGGATCTAATCTCGTCACACACTCTTGAGGTCTCGTAATGGGCGCACGCGATGTGAAGAAAAAACAAGAGTGAATAACTAATGTTTGATGGTTAACTTGATCGTTAGACACGAGAGAATGAGACAAAGTGAATCAAAGGCTGCCGACTTGCACTTAAAACTGATACATACAAACATGACTTTTTTTCATTCAACTGTTCCCCTTACTTCTTGACACTTGCGTCGACACGAGGTCAACACGTCTAGCGTGGAATCTCGGTTAGATATGGAGACGGCTTCGTAAACAATAACGAGCAAATTCTTTTGTGAATTAGGATTATGTTCAGCGATCCATATCTCCGGGAATTACTGTCGGAAATGCAGTTATGAGTAGCGAATTTCGTGGGGAATTTCATGAACCTCAATGTGAAATAAAAATTTTTCAAATCAGATGGATAATTAGTGGTAGATCTGATAAAACGTAATCGCAATGTTTTCGGAGATTTTTTCGCTTCTGCAAAATTTTTGGAATTTTTTTATCACTTGTGGTCTAGGGGATTCCAGGGGGGAAATCTAAGTATGACCAAGGGATTTTATTGGGAATTTTATAAGCTTTAAAATGACGGGTTGGGAATGGAAATCGGACCAATCGTTTTTGAGATATGCAATAAAAGGTGAAGACAGTTTTATGGAGTTTGAGTGGAAAAGTCTATTTTCATGTTTTTTGCTCTGATTGGTTATCTAAGATGGTGATGGCAGGGATTGGATTTCTGCTGATGTGATTTTCTGATGGATTTCATGCACTTTAAAATGACATGTGATAAATAGGAAACGGATCAACCGTGCCTGTTTAATCTTCAAAAGAGTAAATCCTTCCGTCAGCCAAGCCTCTCGAAATCGATGAATAATTGCGGGATATCGATCGATAATCGATAGATATCGATCCCTCACCTGTTGAAACGATAGAAAACTATCCCCACAACCTCTTTCCCCGGAATATCCGCGAAAAGTGAAACTTATCCGCTTTCTCGCTTCAAAATATCAACAAAACCCCTTGCAAAAAGGTCATTATAATCACTTCAAAAAGATTCCAATCATCTCAGGCGTCACTAATTATCCAACGTCAGTTATTCCCCACGAAGGAATCCACAATTACTCCACATCTATAAATAGTCTCAATGATTAACAACTTTCTCCCGGTATTTATCGACTCCGGAAACCAAGAAAAAAATTATTACGCGCGTCCTTGCACTTCCTGTCTGCCTCTTCGCCCTCCCTCCTCTTCTTTGAGACATCCAATGAATCACGTTCTCATTCATCCGGTCGTTCATTCATCCAACCCCCCCCCC